CTAGACTCTTCTGTGGTGACGACACATGGGTCTAAGTCAACCTGCTGAGGGGAGAAGCCCCTTTCCTGTCCTTTGAACCACAGTTGTTTTTTTTTTTTTTTTTTAAATTCAGACCCTGATGTCCTGGGCTCTCAGCATCCCAGGACCTTGTGTGGGAGAATAACTTTTTAGACATTTCGACTTATTCACTAGGGACCTTCCTCTCAAAGTAATACCCCCCAGGATCTTCCAGAATCTTGCAGAACTTTGCCAACTGCTGCTGTGTTTATGGACCACGACCCAGACATTCAGCTCACTTTGCCCCCATCCCCACAAAAGGATTCTTGTTTTTTTGCAAAGGGAACCCTCAAGGATTTATTCTTTCATTGTTCTGGACATATCCCTTTCTGAAATCCTAAAGTAAACAAAAGTTAGGTTCAAGCTTGGACCTTGCTCTGTATGAAAATCAATTGTAACTATTTGTTTACCCTTGTTTGTCATTTAGAACTGGAGTTAGCTTTGTATTGACTATGACTATGTGCTACTGGTCAGGACCATGATACCATGTTAGGTAGTGCTTTCTTTTTTTTAATCTTTATTTCTATTTATTTATTTATTTTTATGTGGTGCTGAGGATCGAACACAATGCCTCACACATGCCAGGCAAGTGTTCTACCACTGAGCCACAACCCCAGCCCAGGTAGTGCTTTCTTGTATTTTAAGATTAAATCGTTATGAATAACACAATTATTGTGAGTTTTTGCTGTTTTGTTTGTTGTTTCTGGATTAAGAAGTGGTGACCCAGAAAGGTCTCAGCTAATCACCCTTAGCATGCGTCTAGACTCAGCAAATACCCCATGACCTACACTTGCATTTACACAGTCTCTGTTTTCTTTCCATGTTGCTTTACAAAGATTCCTTTTGAAGTATTCACAAGAAGTAGTCAGTAGTGTAGAACAATGTACAACCTTGAGTAGACAGGCAAATTTGCATGCTAAATAATAAAATAAAATGGTGGATATGAAAATTTGTATCTAGTTTAAAAGAAAATAGCAAATTGTTTTTCAAATCTTTGAGGAAAAAAATCACATTTCTGAGAATATGATATATGTAATGCAGATCAGCATGTTATCTATTTCATTTGAACATTTTCAAAAGTTCAATCCATTTCTTTTTTAAATTTATTTTAGCGAGGTATAGCAAAATGCATTTTGATTCATTGTACACAATTGCACACAACTTTTCATTTATCTGCCTGTCCGCGATGTAGCATTGCACCCTATGTGCAGTCTTACATACATCTAGGGTAATGATGTCCATCTCATTCCACCATCTTTTCTGTCCCCATACCCTCCAAACCATTTCTTTAAATAATTGAATTGTAAACCAAAATATTTAATTGTTTTTTAACCATCTACTATTAAAATCACTTTCTACCACATATTCCAATCTAGAAAGTTGAAAATCCCTTAATGTTGTTATTTTTCACATAAATAATATTTTCTACTGAAAATAAGAATAAGGAGGAATATCTGAAGCTAAATTATAATTCCAGTCACTACTAATGTTTTGATATTAATCTTTTACATGTTTTGCTGGGCATGTAACTTTTTACAAACTGGGATCCCATTGTAGATACTATTTGGTAACCTGCTTTTCCATTTAAAAGTACACTGTAACACACTGGGTTTTAATAAAATACTCTTCTGTGATATATTTTAAAGGTCTTAGTTGAAATTGCTTTCCTCTTAAGGGGTTTTTCATTTGTTCTTGGGGACCAACAAACTTTAGATTGGAAGTATTTTTGGACCACACAAGTGACATGAATGGGAACACCAAACCATGGGCCAGCTTTGGAGTCATGGTGCCTCTGCTCAGCCTCATGGAAACAGGCTTTCCTTGCTGTCCCCTTCATTGAGGTTTTTTACTTTTTCTTTTTTCCCCTGCTTTCTTCCCTCCCACTCTTTCTCCCCCAGGCCATCCTCCAACCTTTCCTGCCTTCTTTCCTTCCTCCTTCCTACTCTAGCCCTCGGTGTTGGTCTCGTGCTAGACATCCACTTTGGGGGAACCCAGGTTTTATCTCCTGTCCCCGCTCCCCTCCCAAGACTGCAGCCCAGACATCCAGGGCTTAACAGAGAACCTTGGACTTAAAAAAAATGGCTTTGGCACTGAAATATCTACTAAGGTGACTGATTTCACTTTGTTTTTGGCCTCTGTGTTTTCTTTCCTCCCTGCCAGTTCAGCAATGAAGTTAAAGCACATCTAATATTTTATTCAGGATTGGACTTAATCAAAAGGATTGTTTTTTGAATCTATTCTGCCATATGACAGAAATGAAGGTCAAGAATATTTACTTTGAAAGATCATTTGAACTTGCATTTGTATTTTTCCAAAGATGAAGTGGTCTTTTACTGAACTTAAAAATTTATGAAACAACAGATTAAACAATTGTTTAGTGAAATTTGAAAACCCTGTATTATAATGTCATAATATAGATAATACTACTACTATATTTTTAATATTTACAAAGCCTTAGATACATCTTTTAAATTCATAGATGATGATGATGATGATGATGATGATGATGATGATGATGATTTTGGTTTTCTAGAAATATTGGTTTACAGAAATATTGAGTCTAAAGTACAGTGTTTACCATATACCTCCAAGGTTCCCCTATTTTTAATACCTTGAATTAGTATGCCACATTTGTTGGCAGTTGAGAAGACCATAAAGTATTATTGTACATGTATCTTTTGATGGATATTTTTGAATTCCTTCAAAAACTGCACAAGATAGATAGTATGCCCATTTCAACAATAAGGAAACTTGAGATTGTGTACTAAGCCTAGATTCATTTACAAATGTGTAAGAATAAGAACGTGGATCATTATATTTATGTTTCTGTTGTAACTACATTGAGTAATCCTGAATTTTAGCTCTCTTCTGCCTGATTAAATATTCTTAGCACTGCATATTTTCAAAAAAATTCACAATAGGAAAGTATTCTATACTAAGATCTCATCTCAGGATCTAACATACTGCCATGCTCCTTGGCATATGCCTGTAATCTCAGTGGCTTAGGAGGCTAAGACAGGAGGAAGGCGAGTTCAAAGCCAGCCTTAGCAAGAGCAAGGTGCTAAACAACTCAGTGAGACCCTGTCTCTAAATAAAATATGAAGAAATAGGGTCAGGGATAGAGTGCCCATGAGTATAATCCCTGGTACCAAAAAATAAAAATAAAAATCTAACCTGCTTATCTAGTGTAGCAACTAGAGAAGGACCTGAATTGGTGGTTGCCTTATTCATACTAGGAATAATTACTGAACTGATTATTTTATAAGTTCTCTTAATATGAACTAATTTATTTTTAAAAAATAAATACTAGTGTGAATATTTAATGGAATATGTGATATTATGAGATACAGGTGGTAAAAGGATTATTATAGTGAAGCACACATTCATCATCTATAATTTTCCATTTTTATTTTTATTTTTGTGTCAGGAGCAGCTAAAATCTATCCCTTTGGTAAGAATCCCATATATAGTGCATTTTAATAACTGCAGTCTTCATGTGGTACAGCATGTCCGCACAGTTGTCCATCCTTCAGTTTTGCAATTTGTAACCACTGAGCTATAGTTCCCCATTTCCTATGCCTGACACCCCTAGTAACCACCATTTAGTTCTCTATCTACCTCTGTGTACTTAAACCTTTTCTAAAATTCCATAGCATAGGTGAGATCATGCAGGCTTTCCTTTCTGCATCTGGCTTATTTCACGTAGTATAATGTCCTCCAGTTTCTGCCTTATTTACATAGTATTATGTTGTGGTATGTAGGATCTCCTTTTGTAGTAATATCCCACATTTCTTTATCCATTCATGTGTTAACTCAGTACTTAGTTTATTTTCACATCCCAGCAGTTTGCAAATAATGCTGTGGTAAACATGGGAGCACAAATTTTTATGAGGAGTTTAGTTCAATTTCTTTGAGCGTCTACTTGGAGGGGGGATTGCTGGGTCGCAGGGTAGCTCTACTTTTGACTTTTGTAGGAACCACCACACTGTTTACCATAAGGGCCGCACAGTCTACCTTCCCACCAACAGTGTCCAAGGTTGTCCTTCTCTCCACACCCTTGCCAACACTTATCTCTATGAACTTTTTGATAACAGCCATTCTTACAGATGTGATGTGACATTTCATAGTGATTTTAAGTTGCATTTCCTTGATGATTAATGAATGCTGAGTGATTTTTCATATGCCTGGTAGTCATCATTTCATATGCCTGATATGTCTTTTTTTGGAGTGATGCCCGTGCAAGTCCTTTGTTAATGTGACCTAAGTTAGTTGTATTGTTATAAGGCCTTACTCTTCGTCTAACAACTCTGCAGGTATACATAAATATGGCAATAATGCCCTGCGCCTTATAACCCATCAAGTCATTCATGCCCTTTTATTAAGGTGGATTCTTCTCCCAACCTTAACTGTTTTGGGGCAGTTGGCTATGTTTTTATTTAATAACAACTATAGGACCTGAACAGTGAAAATATACTACCCTGTCTAAAAATTATTGCTGTGCATAATGGTAGCAATGGCAAATATAAGACTTTCATTGCTTATTTGAAGTGTCATTTTTATAGATAAGAATGGACCAAATATAAGCAATCTATACAATTAGTGGTTTATGTTGATTCAAATATCAGTATCAGAACTGGTATAAATAATTTTTATAACAAAACATGATACATCTAACTTATTTCAAGTATTCTGTACATTGGTAGAACTCTGTTCCTGCTCTTCCTTCCCTCAGCTCTGGTCTAACAATAGTATTTCCCAAGTCTCTTGGCATGATCTATAGGTAATACAAAAAGACTGACGGAAATGTGCCCATGTCAAATTTTCAACATGTTCTAGCACAACCATAATTAATTTTCTATAACATTCTAGGATTCCAGAAGCATAGTAAATTTCTTTTATATTCATGGAGCATTTATTAATGTAATTATATTTTTGTATTATAGTGAATCGACATCCAATACTCAGAAGAACTAACATCCAGATTGTTGGAAAATTGGTGGCCAGATCGATAAGAGAAAGGAAAATGAGAGCATATTTTAAATCACGAGAAGTTTAATAAGGTTGAGAAGCAATTCAGTGCTGTTATTTATAATGGTTCAATCTGTCTATCCAAAGAGAAGGTTTACAGTGGCCATGGATGAATTTGGCATCAACAGGAAAAAAGACAAGCATTTTTGTACATGCAAAGAAGGACTTTGATGAGTTAGTCTGTAATTTCTAAATATCTTTGCCTGAACACTGCTTATTTTATCTTCTTCATAAACATCATGATAAAATGAAACTACATAGTGTCAAGTACTGCTTTCATCAGACTGAAATTTGTTTTGTTCTATTAACAATAAAGGCTCGGAAGAAACTTTAGAATTATTTTAAAAACTCATGACTCTGATATTAAATGCTGTTAGATTCATCTTTTTTATTCTTTAAAATGATAATAGGGTAATGTTTTACTAAAATATATATCAAAGGGTTTGTTTTTCAGCATACCTAGCATCCCTTAAGTTTTTTGAATTTGCTTCTGAAAAATGGGTTTGAGGCTATAGTAATTTTTAGCATGGCCAGAATATTATATTCCTTTACTCGTTTCTTATTCTGAAGGGACACACTATCAATCTATCTTGCATTCTGAGTTTACTTGCCTCGGGTCTAGAAAAACTTGACGCACAATGGCTAACATCAATTCCTTAAAAACATTGGACTTAATTTTATCCATCCATCCACTCATCCTCCACCCTCTATTTATGGATGGATTAAAAGAAGAAGAGAGGAGCGATAGTTGAAGGAATAGAATCTCTGCACAGCATAGACAAGTTGTGAATGGAGACAGGAACTGCATGACAGGTGTTCTATTTTTTTCAAAGTACTTATCCTTGATCTGTTACTTTTACGATAAATTCATTGGTTTTAAACAGACAGCTCTTTCAGGTTGCTTTCATGCTGGAGTTTACTGTAAAAATACATATGAAAGTTACTGAAACTAATCTTTAGAAAGCCAATTATAAGAATTATATAAATGTTAGAGTATACCCAAACCAAACCAAGATGGGCTAAAGACAATAATGAAGTCTAGCAAAAAAAATTTTAGAATAAAACATTTGGTAGGGAAAGAAAGCAGTGAATACTAGTTTAAGTTTGTTTTTTCTATGAAATTAAATTGTATATATTCTCCTTATTGATAACCGAGAATTTCACTTTACAAAGTTTTTTTTTCTTTATTTGTATGCTGAAAAGGTGGAAATGGCACAATTAAGAAGAAAAGGAGGGAAAATCATACACAATTTGAATATCAGTATGGTCACAGATCATCAGTTTGATTTGTTTTATGACATTACCAGGGTAAAAATTTGGCTAGATTTTTATGACCTCTATTCTATGAAAATGGTAACAAAAACTTGCAGTTACAATGTGAGGTACTTACCAACTCCAGTACAGGATTTCTCAGTGGGTATTGTACAATTGCTATTCCAAATGGTAAGTGTAATTATAAGGTGTAATTAACACGAAGTAATATAAAAGTACTTTATGAAATAAAATATGAAGATTAGCTTGCAATGAAGGCATTTGGGGCAGGATCTAGAAGCTTATTTTTTTTTCTTAATTGTGTGTGTGTGTATACTCTCTCTCTCTCTCTCTCTCTCTCTCTCTCACTCACACACACACACACACACACACACACATATTTTTTTCAATATGATCACTTTTGTTTCATGTTTCCTACATTTAACTGTTCCGGATTCTCAGCAGACTCAAATAGGGCTCCTGCCGAATGTCTGTTAGAGATGTGATTCTACATTAAGTTCAGTGACAATGTCCCTCTAGAGGTGGGGAAGACAGTGTAAGGTCAGGGGAAAGAAGGCTTCACTTTTCAGTTAGTCAGTTTCTATATAAAAATTGGCACTTGGTGCTCATCAAAGAACAAGAAATATTGGATATGCTCTAAATGTCCATTGTGTTGGGAGCCAACTACCTGATGGAAGCCATCACTTATATGTAAATGAACTGTCAATGGCTCGCCACAGTTGGCAGGCACTGGACTGTGAAGGGTATGTCTTAATAAGAACTGAAGCTCTTCACAGACTTTGATTTACTGGAAATAAAATAGAAAAGTCCTCTGAGACTACAAAGGACACTTGTTTCAGATAAAACGTCTAGACAGTAGCAATATATTTAGGGCTTTTATTATAGCAAAACTGCAAATTAGAATGGAGTGGTGAGAAAGTTCCTGTGACCCAGCTGAATTCTAAAACACTGCTTCTGACTAAAGTAATATAAGATCTTTAAAATAGCTAAGCCAAATTAAATAAAAGTGCATTAAGGAAAAGGAAAAACAGAAACAAGGCAAGGTCAAGATGTAGGCTTGTTATTTCTTTTAAATTGTGTCTTATGAATTTTACATTTTCTTATAAATTCATATTTTTTCTTAAAACTGTGGCATTTAGAGTAGTGGAATGCCAAACATCTGTGATCCTGCAGCATGGACTGCTCCTCAAGTAATTACAATTTAAGAGGATATTTTTCCTTGTCCCTTCATTTCTTTCCAACTTTTATTCCAAAGAACAAAAACAAATGAACCATTGAATTCTGTGTAGCTATTAATATTTCTATTAATTCTGATAAAATATATTTGCGAAATGCTTTAGAGTTTGTAGTGTACTTTTCCACAAATATGAGTTGTGGAAACTTTAATAGGTGGATCAAATTTTATGTTAAAACTGTTTTCTCCTGAAGCATCCTATGTTCATAGAAGTGTGTCAGTCAGGATAAGTTAACAACTTAAAAAAAATCCTATCAGTTTAAGATACTAATTTCTTTGTAGCTTATTTCACAATCCAGTGTGAGTCAGCAGGGACCCTACTCCATGCAGTCTTTCAGGGATTCAGGCCTTTTCTATCCTAATAGTTATTCTTTATTTTTTTTATTGCTTCTTTTTAGTTATATATGATACTAGAGTCCATTTTGATGTAATTATACAATAATGATATAGGAATATAGCTTATTCTAATTAAGACCCCATTCTTGAGGATGTACACGATGGTGAGATTCACTGTGGTCTATTTCTATATGAACATGGGAAAGTTATGTCAGATTCATGCCACAGTCTTTCTTGTTCCTACCCTCCCTCCCTTCCCTTCATTCCCCTTTGTCTAATTTATTAAACTTCTATTCTCCCCTTTTCCTTGTTGTGGATTAGCTTCCACACATCACAGAAAACATTTGCCTTTTTTTTTGAATTTACTTATTTCATTTAGCAGGATAGTTTCCAGATCCATCCATTTACTGGAAAATGTCATGAAGTCATTCTTCTTTATGGCTAAGTAATACTCCATTGTGTATATGTACCATGATTTTTTTATCCATCCATTTGTTGAAGGGTGCCTAGGTTAGCTCCATAGCTTAGCTCTTGTGAATTTTGCTGCTATGAATATTGATGTACCTGTGTCACAGTAGTATGCTGATTTTAAATCCTTTGGATGTATACTGAAGAGTGGAATAACTAGGTCAAATTGTGGTTTCAGTCCTTGTTTTTTGAGAAATCTCCATATTGCTTTCCAAAGTGATTGCTCCAATTTGCAATCCCACTAACAAAGTAGGAGTGTATCTTTTCCCCCACACCCTCACCAACAATTATTGTTACTTGTATTCTCTATAATTGCCATTCTAGCTGGAGTGAGATGAAATCTCAGTATAGTTTTAATTTACATTTCTTCTAATAGCCATTTTTTAAGACTGTTGCCACACTCTCTCCATCCAGGAAATTGACAAAAGAGAATGTGGAGAAAGAAACTCAGACAAGTTACTTAACTTCTTAACTACTTGGGTCTAAAATTGGATCATGAGCAATACCAGCCTATTGGGGAAAACTTGTCACCTGAGTCCACCTATATTCAAAGGTACAAGGAAATGTGGCCTAGCTTTGCATCAAAGAGGACTGTGCTTATTTCTGCCACAGAAAGTAGATTGTCTACACTGTGATTTGGGGTATAGGAAATATTTTCAGTGGCTCCAGTTGGACTGTCATCATCCTGGTTTCAAATTTTATAATAAAATTACTCCAAAATCCAATCCCTTCTCGTTTCCCCAAGATTTTGATGCTAATTCCCTTGCACAGTTCCATCCAAAATTCTGAAAACCCATTTTCTTTTTCATTTCTTAGATTTGTAGTCTTCTTTCTGGAAATTGAAAAACTTTGGTTTTTATTTTTCATTTGTTCTTAATGTTTGTTACTCAATAAAAGTTATGTCAAGTACATAATTTTCAGTAATATTTTGATAAGGATCCTTCTTTTACTAGAAAAGACCATTTCCTGTTTGGAAAAAAAAACTTGATCAGAAACTAATATTTTCAGAACAGTAGAAGGGGAAACAGAATTGTACATCTCCATACATTTTTATGTAAAATAAATCAAGAAAAACAGGTATGATAAAGTGGTACTAAGGCAAGTCTGATTTGCCATTTCAGAAGTGAGTTTTCGTTCATTTTACTGGAATGGGAAGAACACTGAGGAATTAAAATTCTATTCTATTCTATTCTCCCCCCCCCACCCCACACCTTTCTCTAAATAGCAGAGGGAAACAGAAAGCATAGTCTTAACCAAAATTTCAAACAAATTTGCTAGAATCTTTGAATAAATATGCTAGCTTAAGTCTCTGCCTTCAAGGCCACTAGCTCTTTCTGGAATAAAGTCTTAAACTTTCAAGTTTGGGGATTATAAAACAAATTCTGCATTAAACATCTTTTTGTTTTATCTTTATTTTTATTTTTTAATTGAGAAGTCTCTGCACATTTTGCTAGTTTTCCATATGGTAAAACATACTTTTCAAGACACAAAATAACAAACTATTCAGGTTCCCTTGACCCTAAATGAAACTTTGCTCTGGAGATTAGTTATGTGGAGATAGAGGGTGAGCACAGAGCATATGTTCTACTATTCTATGTGGCAGTGGCCTGGTCTGGCTAGTGGTTCTGAGGGCAATGACTGTGGCATAGTTTTTTGATGTGGTTTCCCGATTTGGGCAAGGAGTTCTGGGATGATTCCAGGGTTGGTTCATAGAACTT